CCTTCCTTCCTTCCTTCCTTCCTTCCTTCCTTCCTTCCTTCCTTCCTCCCTCCCTCCCTCCCTCCTTTCTTCCTTCCCCCACCTCTCTTTCTCTCTTTTCTGTTATTTTTTCCTGACACATCTATTTTGGTTTCCAACTCCTGGGCTCGAGTGAGCTGCCCACGTCAGCCTCCTGAGTAGCTGGGACTGCAGGGGTGCTTCACTGCACTGGCCCATTCTCCTTTTCTTACATGTAGGGATAGAACCTCTGAGTGTTAGCAGGGAACATGGCTACCCAAAAATTCCCAGCCTTCTTGCAGCTAGGTGTGGCCACGTGACTAAGCCTGAGCAGACGACATGTGAACAAGAGTTCTCTGAATGGTCTCTGAGTCATCCTCTCAGAGACAAAGTGATGGGACCTGAAGTTTCTCTCTCCTCCTTTCTGTAGGTCAGAATATGGACGTGAATGGAGGCGAGTCAGCTTCAACCATACCATGAGGACGGTGCCCTAGGAGGTGGCAGAGCCACCAGAGAAATGGAACCCAAGTCATGGAATAACCTCATACTGCAGAGCCACCCTGCGAATCCCAGACTGCTCACCTTTGGACTATCACTGGAGAAATAAATAAACTTTCCAGTCGTTAAAGCCACTGTCTTTTAGAATCTTTTTGTCACAGCAGCTTACCCATATCTTATATCTGGCAAGTAAGAGCTTGAGTCAAACTTTCTGTGTGGAGAAATTCAAATCAATTAGATATGCTGATAAAGAATGCTAAAACTTCTTTTTCCTTTAAAGAATCTGTTATAATTGATTTTTAAATCTATGAGAACATTTAAGTAAATTATATTTCGATGAGGGAATGGCATCTTCTTTTGGACTATGAAATCTTTTGTATATGAAAATCTTTTTGGTAGAGAGAGGATAACACTTTTTTTTTTTTTTTTTTTTTGAGACAATCTTGCTCAGTCACCCAGGATGAAGTGCAGTGGCCCGATCTTGGCTCACTGCAACCTCTGCCTCCCATGTTCAAGTGATTCCCGTGCTTCCACCTCCTGAGTAGCTGGGATTACAGGTGTGCACCACCATGCCCAGCTAATTTTTTGTATTTTTAGTAGAGACAGGGTTTTGCTATGTTGGCCAGGCTGGTCTCAAACTCCTCACCTCAGGTGATCTGCCTGCCTCAGCCTCCCGAACTGCTGGGACCACAAGTATGAGCCACATGCCTGGCCACATTATGCTTTTTTCCCCCTAATTAATACATTGTGGAAAAATTGAAAATTAAAAAATGAGTAAGAAGTAAAGTAAAATCGACTTAGTGGAACCCATCATCAGTATTTCGTGTTATATTCTTCAGGCTTCATTTTATGCATACATAGAATTTTGTTTTTGAAATTGGATCATCTGCATACAGAATTGGATACTGCTTTATTCCCTGTAACCTCATAGGATGAGTATACTGTATCTCAAAATCAGTAGAAATCCTTGGAAAACATAATTTTTTCTGGCTTCATGATATTTTTTCTCACGGCTGGTTTGCATCTTGTTTGATCATGGCCTTTTACTGAACATTTAGGTTGCATCCCAGTGTTTTTGCTATTATGCATTGCAGTGACAGTCTGTAATGCACAGGTGTCAAAGATGTAGAGCATCTTTGAACACCATCCCTATATTTGGATAATTTAGTAATTTCCCACTTTCTGAGTTCTAGCTTTGCAAGGCAGAAGCCAGAAGACTCTTGTTCGCAGGTGCCTTTGGGCTACAGCTACAAACTTGGGACATAGATTCAGATACATCCAGTGACAGCCCCAGAGGAGGTGGGTGACGGAAGTAAGCCATCATGCACAGGGGTGTGGGATGCCTGGCAGGGGTGGACGCAAAGGCATGTGGATTTCAAGGCCTGTGGTGGAAGAGCACCTGTGTGCAGACCTCACACCGAGCAATGGTGGCTGTCACTTTTGCCAGAGCATTTTCTATGGCACAAGTGGGCATTGCTGCAGGCAGTGAGCCACAGGGCCTAGGATTTCGTGCTCTCAGAGATTAATGCTCTGAGCTTTCTGCTATCCTGTAATAAAATCACATTTGGTTTAAATAGCCAGAGTAAATTTTGCTGAAGAGGATGTGAATCAACAAGAATGCTCATTCATCACTGATGAGAATGCAAAATGTTGCAGCCACATTGGAAGACATTTTGGCAGCTTCTTACAAAACTAAACATAGTCTTACCCTGGGATCCACTAATCACACTCTTGGGTATTTACCCAACTGATTTGAAGACTCATATCCACCCAAAAACATGTACATGAATGTTTATGGCAGATCCATCTAAAACTGGGAGCAAGCAATGCCTTCCAGTGGGTAAATAGGTAAACATATTACAGCATACTCATACAATGAAATGCTATTCTGAAACAAAAGGGAATGCATTGTTATGCCATACAAAGATGTGAATGAATCTCAAAGGAATATTGCTAAATGAAAGAAACCAGTCTGAGAAAGTGATATATGATTCTATGTACATTATATATTCTGGTAAAGAGATCAGTGGTTGTCAAGGATTCAAGTGGGTTGGGAGCATTTAAAAAGATGAAGCACAAGGGATGTTTTTAGGGTAGTGAAAATATCCTGTATTATACCGTAATGATGGATACATGATATTATGGCTTTGTCAAAACTCATAGTGTTGTACAATGCAAAAAATGGACTTTGATGTATGCAAAAATCATTTAACAGACTTTTAACAGATTTAAAATCATTTAACAGATTCCGTTTAACAAGATGGAATACAGAATGTAAGAAAAATAATATAACCATAATACATGTATATGAAGGAATCTCACTGAAGGGGCCGGGGGAAACAGGTGCTGACCTAAGTAACTTTGGGAACAAGTGGAGTATCTATGAATACAGGCAAAAGGAACTGTACATAAATATTGTATTCTTGTTGATAAAGTTGTTTCCCATAGGGGTAGGGTAATAATTCTGATACTGCTATCCCTGTATACTGGAATTGAATGATTGAACAAGAGGATGACATGATGGGAGCCAGGTTTCTCACTGCAAGATGGTGTAATAGAAGCTTTCTACCATCATCTCCCCGCAGAAGCATCAATTTTGATAATTACCCGTGGACCCTTGTGAGAGTCTGTGAGTCTAGCGGAGATGGTCCAGCACACCGTTTGAACAAAAAAATTTGAGGATAGATGTATTGAAGAGGGTAAGAAAAACAGTTTCACTTTACCCACATCACCTCTTTTCCAAGTAAGCACTCAACTTCCCCAGCCATGCAGGTTGGTGCCCATGAGGCTCACTTCTTTCTCATCTCATCTGGAATACTGAGGTAATCAGTACAGCTGAGAAGCTGAGAGATGCCAGAAACAGGGAAGAGAGGTCAGGGACTCTACTGAGTGCTACGTAAAGTCTATTAGGAAGCCACCCACCAGCCACCTGGAACATTTCACCTGTGGAACACCCCCACCTCAGCTGGCCCGCAGCACCCCAAATGCTCCACATGCCTCACCCTTCCTCTGGCAGGCTGGCTCCCTGAGTGTCCCCTGCAGATGGCAAGTGCAAGTGTGTCATGCAGACAACCAACTTGACTCTGCAGGACTGGGAGAAGGCACACAAACTTGAGCATTTCAGAACACTGCCCTAGGCAAAACAAACAGGAGGCTCTCAATCCCTGGCCTGGCTTTATGGGATCAAAAGAAGGCCTATGACCCTAAGAATTTCCACCTCGCCCACACAGAGAACAAGAGGTGTGGAGCAGATGCATTTATAGAAAAGGTCTAAGAGTCTTAGAATCCCTAGCTTGGCTGATTAGTGAAGGCATTTCTCTGTCAAAGCCAGTCAATCAAGACTGGAAGGTGACTGATTCTTCTTCAATGCAAAGACAGCAACATAAGACTTAAGAAACATGAAAAAGTCAAGTAAACATGACTTTACCATAGGAAGACAATAATATTCCAGGAATCAACCCCAAAGAGATGAAGATCTATAAATGGCCTGACAAAGAATTTGCATTATTACAAGGCATCTCAGTGAGCTACAAGAGAATGCAGATAGACAAATCAACAAAAAAAATCAGAAAAACTAACACATGAACAAAATAAGAAGTTCAATAAAAAGAGAGAAACCATAAAACTAAACAGAACTAAACAGAAATTCTGGACCTGAAGAATACAGGGAATGAAATGAAAAATGCCCATTAAGTGAAAAAATGGGTTATTGGCTCTGGTTTAATATGCAGCATTTTTTCCTTTTATAATGGCTTGTAACATATGGTGCATCTTACCATTAATGAATATTAGATTTGATTAAATAAAATATTGCCTTTTAAAATATTTTAAAATAGATGAAAAAAAGATTTATAATTAAAATTTATAATTTTCAGGGTTAGTATTTTTCTTATTTGTACACTCCTTTAATATATTAGAAATATTAATTATTGATCTCTCATTAGTGAGAAATATTTTATCCAATTTTTTTTGCCTTTTAGTTTTGATTATGGTGCTTTATTATGGAGTGTCTTTCCTAAAACTTCCCACTAAACAGGCTTTCATAGTTGGTGTGTTTTTGTTAAATGATCCCCAGGGAGCAGAAGTGAGGGAAGAATGGTGGACAGAGAAGGAGGGAAAGCCAGCATAAGGATGTATTGTTGCATTGATTATGTAAGAACAAATACAAATTTAAAATAAGATATTTAGTTCTGTCTGTTGAAAACGAGGAAAATGATTTTTCTTTCCTACTCCCTTTTCTGAGATACCTTTCCTTAGAAAATTTATAATTGTAAATTTATATTCTCATCTCTTCGAAATATTTCCCTTATTAGACTAGATTGGGCTTTAGTCAGCTGGCCATTTTTTCTTCTTTTTTTCAGTTTTATGATCCAGGAAGCTTGAGAGCCATCCTCTTGAAATATCAAAAGAGATAGCTCTTCTATCTCCTTTGGGAAGATAGGAGCCTAATTTTGGTGGGCTCCTTGCTCTAATTTGCCAAACTGTCTCCTGTTATAAAGATATGAGAAATTTATTTTTCCGCTGGATAAAGCTAATAAGCTAACTTGGATGGTCACCACAATTACCAGATAAATTTAAGAGGATGAACTACATGTGGCAAATGGTGCTATCAAGTCCTCTTACTTGAGGATGAGTTACTGTTTATCTTGAGAACATGTATATGATGGGTCGTATATGCTTGGGTATATAAGGAGGTAAGCTTTATTTCTGTGTTTGCAATCCTTGTGGATTGCCAGTGATGTGCATAGTATTCTAGTTTGTTTCTTATTCAATAGTAAACATGCTTTCTTCCTTTATTACCCCTGTAGAGAAGATTTTTGGTTTGGGAGATTTTGATTTTAATTATATTTCCCCAACAGCTATCACTGGAGGCAACCAGCTCTCATCTCAGTCTCAGGGGATCACGACATGTGAAGATCATGAGATTTTTGAGGAAATGCATCTCAGAACTTTGCACAGGGTTCAAAGGGAAAAGCATTTATTCATTGGCTCCCATACCCCGCTGGCCTAGTGGAGTGTTAAGCCCCCACACTTGTGGGCTGTGCATTCCTGAACAAAATTCCTGCCAGTAAGTGACAGGCAGGAAGCAGGAGGTAAGACATGTGGTGCGTTAGGCAAGCCTTTGTCAGA